TAGGTTTAAACGTTGTTTTCAATTTAGACTTGTTGTATATATATATATCAAATCTGTCGTAGAGTTGTCACTAGTTCAGACGTACTTATAATATAATTATTTCTGTGACTCATCCTACATTAATTTGTAAGTTCCTCTACGACAGATAATTCAGCTGATCTGTAATATTCCATCTTCATGCCATATATATCATGTACTGTGTTACGACGCCAGATAAAAACTGACGAGGAAAGGTAATACCCGGCCACCGGAAGCTTGATTTTTGTGGAGCCTAGGTGGTCGAGTGGTCTAGCGCGTCGGTCATAGTACAAGGCGATTTGGTGCCACGATATCTCAGTAGCATGAGTTCGAATCCCGGTCAGGGAAGAACAAAAACTTTGCTTCTGCAAATTTACAGATGTAACATTGTTGGGCTGTTATTTAGACGAATTATATATATATTTGGAACTAAATTCTTTACACTATTTATAAGTTTGAAAAAGAAAAAAAACATTTTAGATAACCCTCCACATTAAACCAATTGACGCAGAAGTCAGCAACCATAGGTCGGTCACCGTACGGCCTTTAACAATGAGTAAAACCAATATCGCATAGCAAACTATAAAGTTGACCATTTGTAGGTGTCTAGATATTATTGATATGAGGTTAATTTCTGTTTGGAATAGTCTCTTAAAAATTATCATTAGTTTTACATCAACTTCAAAGCAGGAGTAACAAATTAAAAAAAAGGACTTGTGTGTTTTTTTTATTAATCCTTGTAAAAATTCGGTTTCCTATGAGTTAAACAATAAATATGTAAGTTGCTGTGCACAATTGGTACTCATTGAAATTCTTACTGCTTAAAAACTCACGTAATTTAGCAATATCGTATTTGGGTTTTTTTTTTTTTTTTTTAATAACGCTCCTACATGTAGTAAAAGTAATTATACTGTCTGTTTTTCTTCATTCATTTTGAAAAAAAAATTGACAAAGACTTAGTAAAGATTTTATGCGATAAGTTTTAAGACCAATTAAAGAACTGACGGACTAACACCGATTTACCGATCTATTCTAATTTTTCGATTTCTGATCACTGATTTCTTGTGCAATAACTGTAGCTCCTTTGAATCTCTCATTCGTATGAGCTTAGAAATAAATATCGTTTTATAACAATTATAACCTTATTAAGTCACTAAAGAACTATAGTTTGTTTTATTCAAATGTAACGAAAAAATGTATATTAATACTTAATCTTATTTTTATGACCAACGATGAAGACATCACAGAAAATCAGTTCGCCTTAGCCAGGGGTAGTGTCATAAATTGCGGACAGTATCTGATAAATGGTTTATTATAAAAAATGTGATCCATGTTTAATATGTTTGATATTCAGTTTAAGGCGATTACATGTACACACCTTTCGCTTTTTTGTAGCCACTTCAATGGATTTTGTATTACTTTGTTAATTTATTAAATAAATAATTGAATACTTAGTCTAGTTGATACAGTACACACTTTATGCTTCCCTCTAAATGTCTTTTGGTTATTTTTGTTGTAAGGTTGTTATCTCATGGACGTATACCTGACTGACGTCAAAGGCTTCGCACCTTTTTTTCTATACAAGTTATCTTTAGAATATTATATAGAATATATAAAGCATGCGCATTTTAAGAATATAATTGTAGTTTCAAATTATTAGTATTTGACCCAAAAAGTTGAAGGATGTATGAAAATATGGTCGACTAGGCTCTCTATTCCGGCGGTAAACCTCGTACTAAGTGTGTATATATAAAAAATACAGTCACATTGGTGTGATAATTCTATCCGGAGTTCGTAGATAACCTCTCACAAGGTAAAATAACCAACCCTACCCAACATTTCTCCCAGTCTTAATTTCACGCTTTTCATCACAATTGATTAACTATGTAGAACCTACGTCACTGATTTATAATTATTTAGTTTTGTCTAGTCCTGAATATGTGAAAGATAGTTGCCGCTGGACGTTCATCAAACAAAATCATCATCAGTCAGCTATAAATTAGGGAAAATTGACAAAACTAATTATTTATTGGACTGTACACATTCAGTATACTCTTTGATTCAATGCGATGGAATAACTTACAATTTAACTCCACTTAATTTGAACTTTGGTGGATAGTTGTCTCATTGGCAATCATACGACGTCTTCTTATTTGTATACATGTATAAAGTGTTTGTTATAGTGGCATTGTTTTTGACAAGTGTATAATACAGTGTATTTAAAAACAATTATTAGAACATTCGACCCTTTGGGACAATAAGTCGCTTTAAACATTAAAGTCTATAGTACGACGAACAAAATGAATTTCAAAAATTTGATAACAAAAAGTATTTTCCTGTACAGAATCTTGCAATGGCTATTTAGCAGTTTTTTTTCTTGGATGCTGACATAGTAAATATTTAAACTGTTCATCTTTTGATAGAATATATAAATTGTCAATTTTTAAGAAATGTTGAGCTCGTAAATTATTGTAATAATTAAAGTTTATGAGGAAATGGAATTCGTTTTCTACACAGTTATCATCACGCATTTTACAAATCGGTCTTCTTCTGCTTTATCTACAAAACGAAAAAGTGTCTAACCTAAGTGGAAGAATGCCACACCTTAACTGAGCTAATATGGATCTTTCGCTACGGTTTAGATTAAGTTTGATGTAATATTCACAGCTGTAATCTGATTTAGTGAGTCTCTATGTACGAAGTTTTGAAAATGTCGCTAAACCAATCTCCCAATCTGCGGAGCTTTTATCTTTTAATATTGTCTTGCACACAAGTAAAACACACGTGTCGTTAGTAAAAAAAAAAGTTGTTCTCCAATCCAATATACGCCATTTTTTTTTACTCAGATGACCAATTGTTCGTTTCCAAAAAACAAGCGTCGTCCATATATAGATACAAGCTTGTTCCAGTCTCTAAAAATATGACGACATCGTCGCTCCTTTGCGTAGGCCCCATCCATCCTCACCGTTTATTGCCAATGTCGGTGCTAATTTTTCGACACCAAGAAAATAACGAATTGCTTTCTTCTGAATTTGATTCAAGCAAGCAAAGTCCTTGTATCCCTAGAACGAAGAGTTATAGTCTAGAATTGGCATTGCACATGAAGTTAAAAGTTTTTCGAACGTTTTTATTCCAAAGTCTTTTAAATGGTGAATCTTGAAGATGACCCCTCCTAATGCTCTACCTCCAGCTTCCGATTGTCTATTTGCATTATCTATAAAATTCTTAAGATCGAGAGAATTAATATGTAGAAACCTGTACTTAAGGTAGATAGGGTGTCTTCCTCCATCTTGGATTTTGAAATACCAGAAAATATTCGGTCTAGACCTTTAATAAAATGTGCAAATTTTGTGAGTAGTGGGTAATTCATGTGTAAGAATTTTCATTTTAATATAGAAAATGACATGTTTTATTATATTTATGGTTGTATTTTACAAAAAACAGAATACTTTTGTTTGATTCAATTTTTTCCAATTTTGCCACATAAGGGGAAGCAACTCAAATGTAAGGGCAGATAATTCAGATAAAAGTTACTTTTACAATAGAATGTGTTAGGAATTTATCTATTTTATAATGTAGCAAGAAAACGGGCCCGGTGACCCCATTTTTTCTTTTTCTTATCTGAAAGTATGATATTAGAGCTATCTTCTCATATTTTATCTCAAAATTCTATGGTGTAATTTTCGTTTTATGGCACAAAATTGCGTTTTCCATGCATAATCTATACAAAATCTGTCAATTTTGCACAACCTGTAGCGTGAAAATAAGCCCCGTGACCCATTCTTTTTTTTTTTTTTTCAAAAAAGGATGATATAAACTACATTTTGGCAAATTATTAAAAAATTCTATGGATTATAATTTAGACACCCCATCTACCTTAATTGCAGTTTATTATTAAGTGTGTCGTTGACCTGTAAAATCACTGATCGGGAAAAAAAACCTTTGACCTCCTTTCCCTTTTTAATTACGTACAATAACTGATGAAGTTAAAAGGTACTATATACTAATATCTTGAAACCTAAAGGTGTATCCATATTCTCAGTATTCTGGCCCAAAAACTTCAACTGGAACCTAGATAAACAATTGCCACTGCCAACTCTAACCCGATTAATTGTTTGTCAAATTATAATGCACGGACTAAACTTAATATGAAAGGCAAGCCTGTTTTATTTTTTTATTTTTTGCGAATACATTTATTAGAAATTGACGGCTTCGAAAAACAAAATATTGAAATATAATTCAAATCGTCGTAGCCAAAATCCGTCCTATTTACCACTATTGTGATGTCACCGAATAACCGATTTTCGACTTGTCATGGGTAATACGACGGGTGTAACTAGTTGATCAGAATATGCTTTCCCTTCCGGAACAATTGAGATCATATCCTGTATTTGTAGGGTTTGAATTGCGCAGTCTATAGTTTTCTATGTAATGTTTTGTAGTCTGTTGATAGGCGTTTCGTCGTTTTCTTCGACTCATTTTTAATTGTTCACTTTGTATCGTCTGCGTCTTTTTTCCCCAATATTATTAAAAACACAGACTTAAATAAGTTACTAAAAATATTATACTATACTGGTATGAATTTATTTGGCTTTCACTGATTTGATTTCTATTGTTTATTATAATGAACATAACTACACCTACAATAAGTTCATAATGTTTTCGTTCCGGGTCTATTTCCACACCCTATTTAGAGGGGCGTAAAGGGGGGAGTATCTGCACGGAAGAACGCGAAATAAAATTGCCATTTCACGATGAACGAACACTAAAAAATATCTTGCACGTTGATCTTTTTACCGATTTCACGAAACACGGTGAATAACGAACCTTTTTCACGGCTGCACGTGAAATAAAAATGGCAAAACCCTTTACCACCCTCTATTTATATAAACCTACACAATTTTCAATATAAATGATATATATTACTGATACTATATATATAGGTAGACTGAAAACCTTCATTCTACCGTCAAATTAATTTGTATAATTCGCCGACTTGAAAGGGCACACCTTTTCTTTAACTACATTGTTCATTCATTAAGTTTACAAATACGCAAAGGTTATGCACAGCCTTTAGATGTAGAAAAAATCTTGTTTGATGACCTTTTTGACAAAGAATAACTTCATAACCTTTTTCACATTGTTGAGAAAGTTATAGTATGTTGTTATAAAGGGAAGTCTCTCATCCATCGTGTGTGCTGGAGCGTTAGTTAAACATTAAGTATTGCAACAGGCGTGTTGACTCTTCAACTTTCTCCCAGGATTAATACGATGTAACTAACTATTGGGGCGAATTTCATACTTTGATGTGGTACAATTCGTTGATTATAGGCAAAATAGTGTGTATAATATTTACTTTGACAAACATATTTCATACTTTGTGAAATGACTAAGATAAAAATTTTATTACATAGAGAACTAACTTGATTTTATTTTTGTGATTTTAATTTCGATTTTCGGATGTACATCAATAAAGACACAAAATGATATATTTTAGGTAAGTAATCTGCATATCTTTTAAAATAACACGTTGTTTAGATTTTATCTAATTTATTACCAGATCATACTTTTAATTCATGTTCGGAAAGAAGGTATTGAGGCATGTTATGTTAACAGGACATGTGTTATTTACTTAAATTTAGCATGTCTTAATTTGAACTTATAATTATTCTTGTATAATGATTTTCAAACGTGTTTTTGTTCCGATTATAAATATACAAATAAGTGAAATCTATGAAAAACTACATACATCCTCCTAGATCTTTGATAAATAGATTTTAAATCAGTTAATGTCGTTAAGATAACTTAAATTTGCCTTTTTGTTAAATAAAATGTTTAAATGTCGTTAAGATAACTTGATTTTGTCTTTGCATTTGTGTTATGGTCCCTTTTAGATACAAAACGCAATAGATATGAAAATTAAGGACACACACGAGACAAAATGAATTAATAGGAATTACAAATAAACACCAAAAGAAAGGCGCATTATTGACGTTCTTCAGCTAAAAAGTTACTGGGGGTTCTTTTACGATGAATCAAGACATAAAAGCTGACAAGGGGCAAGTGTGTTCCGGGAAAGCATCAACTTTTGCTCAACCCTATTTTTAGCTTGATTTCCAAACTTTTGGCCTTTAATTGGTGTTCTTCGTCTAGATTATTGCTGGGGGTTCTCCGGCGATGAAACATGAAATAAAACTCAAGTTGGCCCAGGGTATATTATTGACATACAGTATATTTCATATATACATTGTATATAATTTACTCTATTTAGATTTATTTCCCATCTCTTGGCTCTTTAATTGATGTTCTTCGTCTTGATAGTTGCCGAAGGGTTTTCAGCGATGATTTTAAAATGGTACAATGTTCAAGGTGGCTCATAGCATTGACTTACGCGGTATCATTTTCGATCTTTACTTCCAACTTTTAATTCTGACGTAATGAAGGTCAATCTATAAATTCATATCAAATACAAAAAAGGAAACGCTTTACTTTGATATACTTGTTGTGTATACATGGTCGTGTCAACGTTCGCATGTCAGTATGAAATAAATTATGTATCATGGAATCTAGTCATTTATTATGTAATACTTTCAATATATTCTACACAAATAGCAAAAGCAATATGTATTTTGGCAAACTTCGTTTTCTGTAACAGACGTTGAAAGCCTCAAATACAAAATGTAAGTATTTAACTGCGTAAAAAGAAAGCACTTTAAAGTCAGGTAGAGAATTAAAAAATGAAATTTATTCAAATCAATTATGATTAGGCAGTTTGAAAGTTATTATGTGTAAGTATATCAAAGTCTTTAATATGTCAGATTCATATTTTACTTTTCATGCTATTAATTTTTTAAGAATTTTATTGGTTTAGAATTTTTGTGGATTCGGTATGTCTTTTTAAAACTTGCTTAGCTTTAGTAGCGGACTCACTTCAACGACGTAATTACTTATAAATATATTTGTACCAGAGATCATATGTGATTGTCTGTCCCGAACGGCAATTTTGTCATCAACATTGAGCCTAGGGACATTTTAAAAAACATAAAGGACACTCCAGTTTGATTTTGCTATACATTAACGTTTTATGATGTTAAATTCTACAAAATGTCTTGATTTATGGTTTCATATTTTATATTCCTCAAATGGTAAAAAAAGCTATACGTCGCTTTTTTGTTCCTTAAAACTTCACATTTGTATACGCAGATTCTTCTTTTATTTTTGTTGTTGGTTGCTTCTTATGTAATTTGAACGTAACCAAACTTTACAGCATAAGCGCTGTTAAAATTGAAACTATCACCATATATATTAAAAGATACTAAAAGAGCAACAATAGGGTATAAAATCTCAGATTTTTATTATCTGTACGATTTGAATGTTTCGTTTTGCGTGAAAGTATTGATGAAGGTCGTACGCTGACCTATAGTTACTAACGATATTTGTTATCTGGTGGTTTTTTATGTAGTTTTTGTGGATCTGTCTATTTTTTCGTCGTCTTTTGGGTTTTTTTTTTTCTAGTCATGGTGTTGTCAGTTTCTCTTCGACTTATGAGCTTTGGATGTACACTTGGTATCTTCCGCATCTAATTACATGTGCTGTTTCGATTGATTTTTCGAAAAGTCTTGTGCCCTACATGTACTACGTAAACGTGTAAATGCACCGAGAGATCCGAATGATATTAAACTGTCACATTAGCAAAAAATGTTCATAACTATGTACGATGGTAGATATATCGTTATTAAATTTAAAGCATGTCACAAATAGATATGTTTTTATAATACAATGAAATCTACTATAACGATGTATACCATATCATTATACTATTATGATCTGTGCGTTCTATTTGTAATCTTTTGTTGTCTCTCGAGGCTCCCTTTAATCCTAGTTAAATAAACATGTACTCATTTTTTACATTGTACATATCAATCTGTGTTAAATATTCTTCTTTTCGATACATTAGATGTAAACGAAAGATAAAAGTGTAACTTATTCTATTTCAATATGTATGAATATGACTTACACATATTTTCATGGATGGAAACAATAATCTTGTGTTTATGAAAAAATCTGCAAACATTTATGCTAAAAATGTAATTCAAAGTCAAAGGCTTTATTTAAATACAATATTTACAATTTGATATTTGTAAAGGATCGAATTGAATATATAGCATATATGTGTTTGTATATTCTGGGCACGTTTTCTGTATTTATCATAGATTATCACCTGTGAGATCGAGTCATGGACTGTGAAGTATGCTGAATTAATATTTTAAAAATCAATTCCATTTTGATAAAAACCGTGTCTGCATGTTTTACATATTATAAATTAACATGTAGACTATTATATAACTTTTTTTATTGAATTACAGTTAAGTTTTAAATTTAAGTCAAGGGAATCCAAATGAAACATTTAAGTTTTCAATGCACTTAAGCTCGTATGTACATACATAAAATGTCGTAATTACACTTACTTTGACAATAAACATTTGCTAAATTTTATAAACGAAATATATAATGAACCTTGTAAAAGTGGGTTACCATAAAATCAAAAGGACATTAATTGGTTAACTTTCAGTTAAAAGTAAATAAAATTGTATGCACCTACATTGAAAATTTTAAGACCTGAAACGTGGTATATATTTTAATTGCCATGGATCCATTAATATATCGGGCATGTATTGAGCCGTATTTCTTAATTTAACGAATTAAAGAAAAATGAAATTTTAGACCCCTTGAATTCAAAAATTAAAATTTTTGTATAACTCTATGAAATAACATCTTTTATATGTGTTCATAAAATATAAATCTGTCAGAAATCCGTATTCATATTTTGAATTTTGAATTTCATATTTCGACTAGTATCTGTGTCTCGAATTTACTATATTGGATGGAAAAAATTCCAAAAACCACAAAAAATAGCCTCATCTTCAGATGTTGTCCCTAAAAAAGATATTTGCTACTTTGTCTAGATGTTTTATTCAGAAATGTTTATGTGGGTAAAATATGTTTTTGTGTGAGGTCTTGAATCATAGCTAATTAGTCCAAACACTATATGTGAAAATTGCTATTTTAGATCATATACATTGTATGTCAATTTCGACATGTGTATCACATTACAGTGATATAAGAAACAAAACGTATATATTATATCATCTCATTTACATATCAATAAAATCAATATAATTTTGAACGCTTAAAAAAATTTATTTTTGAAATTTTAGGGGTCAAATAATGGCTCTCTAAATTTATACTTCCGCCTTTCACTCGTTGATTTTTGCCTAGTTCTGTTCTCTTATTGTGTCACAACACAATGTTTCTGTAAATTTCAATCAATTCAAATGTCAATCTGATTTCAATACACAATACATCAGATACATATTAAACTTGTAAATCTTAAATGTGCTGTGAAAACACCCACCATCGTCCTTAAGGTTGATAAAAATTCAATTATATTTTGAAATATATTGATTATATATATAATGGATGGATCTGTCGTAGAGTTATCACTTGTTTAGACGTATTTATATATATATATATATACATAATTACTCTAAATATCGCACAACAATGTTAAATCTGCAAATTTGCGGAAGCAAACTTTGGTTCTTCTCTCGCCGGGATTCGAACTCATACTATTGGGAGATCATGACAACACCGCCTGCACTGTGTCCAGCGCTCTAGACCACTCGTCCACCTAGACTGAACTAAAAATTCAGCTTTCGGTGGCCTAGTGTTACCTTTCCTCGTCAGTAGAATCTAGACACAGTACATGATATATTAGGCATGAAGATGGAATTGATTGCAGATTAGCTATAGATTCATATATATATATATGAATAAAATGAGATATGGGGTGTAATGAATAAGCGAAAAGACATCAACACGATCCATGACAGAGAGATACGACAACTCAATGTTCTTTTTACGACTAAGTTTTCAATTTCTCATAAGAAATAGAAAATGGAAACGGTGAATGTGTAAAAGAGACAACAACCCGACAATTAGGCAGAAAACAGCCCAAGGCCACCAACGGGTCTTCAACGTAGCGAGGAAATCCCGCAACCGGAGGTTAGCTTCAGCTGGCCACTAAACAAAGACGCATACTAGTCTAGCGAAATGGACGCCACACTTAACTCCGAAACATACAAATCAACCAAAAAAAAACACACAAACAAGACTTATAAAGGTTCCTGACTTGGGACAGGCGCAAAAATGCGACCGTGTGCGCACAAAGTATAGAAGATATTCGGGCGTTTTCAATGACATATGTCTTTCATTTCTACACAGAGTGCAGTAAACACAATGACCGAAAGAAAGAACAAGAAATGATGAAAAATACACAACACCCCAAATCCAAATTTGAGTAGTACGTCAAAAACGATCATTCCAAAACTCAAAACGCAAACTGTTTTAAGGTATTAGCAAGTTCTTAACCGATTGTTAACGAAAGAGTCAGTTTCAACAAAACAAACATTCCAACATTATGCACACTGTTTGAAT